TGGTTAAGATACATTCTCCAAGACTTGAAAGTTCTACTGTCTGAACCAGCATTATTATACTATGATAATCAAGCAGCATTACACATAGCAGTCAATCCAGTTTTCCACGAACGTACGAAACACATTAAAATAGATTGTCATATAGTTCGAGAAAAATTACAAGCTGGAATCATCAAACCGTGTATGTTTCGACTAAAATGCAATTGAAAGATATTTTCACTAAAGCTTTGTGAAGACATCAATTTGATTTTTTGAAAGACAAGTTGGGTGTGATTGACATACACTCTCCAATTTGAGGGAGTATTGAGATATAATATTTAGAGTATATATTATTTATAAAATATATCTTAGATATTATATCTTAATATTCTTTATTTATGATTTGATTTACCGTATATTTTATTTTATTCTCAATATTTAATTATTTTATTTTTTTCTCATGTGTAGATATTAGTTGCTAGCTTGTATCCATTGAAAAGATATATATATCAATGAGAATACACACTTTCCCAATTCTATTTCTATTTCTTATTCTTAACACGGTGTTTGTTTAAAATTCTGAAAATTCATCAAAAACAAAAACAAATGTGAACTAAATTATTACGTAATAAAATTCACTGACAAAATTGTTACAAAATTAACGTACATAATAAATGAAAATTTGACCTTTTGAAGTTATTTGTTTACAAATAGAACCAAGTTTTAGGTGAATGAGGATTGATGGTTCTTTCTAGTCACCAAAATGATAAACAATTAAGTAAATATAAATTCGAGATCAAAATTTTTTCAATTGGGATATAATTTGGGGGCCTTTCTTTTTAATGAGAATTAAAAAGACTAACAAAAAAAAAAAAAAAACAATATTTTCAAATATACTCGATCAAAATTATTAAGCAGCTTCAAATTTGACCTTGAATTTAACCCAAACAAATTCAAATTTGTAGTAAATATGCTAAAAAAATTATATAAAAAAAGAGCATTTGAATAACTTAATGCCTTGAAATTGAATGGACAAGAATGGTGGCATTCAATGAAGTGATTATTGGTTGGTATGATGGGTAATTTTTGTGGAGATAATATCATCAATTAATTTGTGGCCTTAAATTAGCCTACTTTCAAATTGACATTAATGGATTATATTAAAGTTTTTGGCTACGACCATTGACAAGGTATCACATGTTTATCCCACAAATTTGTTTTTCGGCTTCGAACACCTAATTCTAATATCTTTTGTTGGTGGTGGCGGAATCCTAGCCTTACGTTTTGATGTCCGGGCTATAAAGATAAATATATATAATAATTATAGCAACGCAAGTGCATCGGCTCAACTAACTTCGATGTAGATCTTGTGAAAGCGACTTTGAAGATCATGATACTAGAGTCTGATGGTTAAAAGATTGATTTGTTAATTCAAAGACATGAATGAGAGGATGGAGCTCTTAGCATATCTGTCCGCTTTAGCCTGTTACGTATTGTCTTCAATCTCATAATTTTAAAACGCATTTATTAGGGAAAGGTTTCCGCACCCTTATAAAGAATGATTCATTCCTCTCTCTCGATCCGATGTGGGATCTCACAACTTCTATCTTTAACTGGATATCATATCCGTGTCACAACTCTAGAGGAGGGTGAATAAGGTTTTACTTAGCATAAAGGAAAAAAAAAACCTCTAAATTTACTTAATTCTTAAACTTTTTAAGAATAATTAAGAATGATAATTAATGCAACAATAAAATATGAAAAATAATTCTATTCAAAACAATAAATATTTAGGAAGATGACAGATGACTATAATAATTTCAAAATCAAATAAGAAAAAGTTAGAGAGAATGACATCATACGTAATGATCTCGAAAAAAAAACTTAGTAACTAGAAAACCCGTGAATTTTTGGGCGATCGCCGAAAATTCCGCGATTCATGTGGAATCACGGTCTTTGACTCCCACAACGTGCTCAAATCCTTAGCAACTTCCCTCCCACCTTCAGCAATCTTCCAACCAACGCCCAAAGTACCTGTAATAAGGAAAGAGAAGAGAGACCAAGAGAAAAATATCCAAAACTCGAGCGAGATCCAAAAACAAAACCCACAGCCTTAAACCGCCAGATCTAACATCAAAATGCTTGAAGTACTTCGTGAAAGAGACTGTCAACCTTGTAGGACACGTTTTATGCCGTGTTGTCATCGTCAACACCGTAGGAGAAAGGAATCTGGAACACGGATTTTGAGAAAATGAGATTCACCTCCCCCAAGTCCATCAACCACGAAACTTTGTGGAAGAGGAGTAGAAGATCTAACAAAGAGATTGAGGAGAAGAACGACGAAGGAGAATGTTGGAAAATGTCATGGGAAGGAGAGAGAAAGTTCGCCGAAAAATCGCATAGGAGTCAAGTAAGGATGAAAGATCCGTTGGATCCAGTTTGAACCCAAAACGCACCGCAGCCCAGCCCTCAAATGGAAACCCAGTAAGCCAGTCAGCAAATGTGACCAGCGAGCTGACCCACGTCCCGAACCTAGACTTGCACCTCGACCCGAGATGCTTGCGCTATCGTGGCCCGCTCTAGTGCTACCACTTGTCAAGTTGTGGTGCAAGCATCCCTTCGGCTTGAGTGTCCTGGATGGCGCGGTGACAGCTTCCGACGGCTTCTTCGAGGTATTTGACTTGGATTTCTAATTTTAGCCCGATTTCCATCGTTCTGACCTTCTCAAACCTGTTTTTGACCTTGATTAAGGTAATTGAGACCGTTTTAGAGCCACATTTCACATTATTAGTTGGATTGTTAATTAAAATATGAAATACTAATGAAAGGTAACGAACGGTGCGATAGAAAGCGAACTCCGATAACCTTTGGAGCAACTCTCAAGGAACAGAATCTTACGTTAATTAATTAGGGAGTACTCCGGCTAAGGGCAACCAGGTAAGTGGCCTTACTATAGAATAGACTAGAAATTGTACGAGTTACAATTTTTATGATGTATGAGCTATGATGATATATGAGTTGTATCATATGATGTCGTACGCTAGTTAAATGACATGTATGAGCCATGATGATGTATGAATTATGATGTATGAGCTATGATGCATGATGCATGATGCATGATGATATACATTAGTTATATTACGATGTATGACGTACTTGACACACTTGATGCAAGTAATGGCGTTATGATAAGTATGATGATTGCATGACGTTTATCTTAATATGTTGATGTTTTTCTATATTAAGCATGCTATATGATCTTGAGTGTTCTATTGTATCATGTCGATAGATCGGTTGAGGACACAACCCTAAGAGCATAAATATTTAACGAGCATGTGTTACTTAATGTAACAAAGAGATGAGACTAGGGTTGTGTAAGACGAGATGCTAAGATGAGAAGTAGAGGGACCTCATGCATGTTGTGTGTACATAAGCATAGGGATACTTCCCCTAGAGATGATGAGTGTGGATGCACACAGTATGATGATGAGGGTGATCATGGGGAGTATGACACCAAGGGTTCCACTGACCTCCGGACGTCGTTATAGACAACTAGCTTGACTAGAGAGGGTCTAAGAGGTGTGCGAGCCACCTGGGGATTCACACTCGCGTGTAGGTCGTGTGCAGGGAAGTACTACACATCTATAGTAGTCCGGACTGAAAAACACTCCTAGTATGAGATGGGACAGAGATAGGTCCCTAGAGCATGATTGCATGTGTTTGCATTAACATGGCCCCTATAGTGGGGTCCCTTACTAAGTATTCTTCGAAATACTCAGGCTATGCGTCACATCATTTTTCAGGTAAAGGCAAGGCGCACATATACGAATGACAGCGACATCATGAGCATAGACTATGACATGTGCATAGGGTAAACTCATTTAAATTTCTTGTCTTAGGTTTTGCATTTCATCTATTTAAATTATTTTGTATTTATTTTTTTATTTTCTCTAAATTTGAGTATTTAGTATTTTAATGGGTCATGGTTGTGTTTTCAAGATATAGAAGATGTTTTAAATAATTTTGCATTTATAACAGAGATGAGGTATTCTTTTAAGAGTTATATTCCGCATTTTAGAAGAGCACAAGACGTTAGTAACGTCTCTAAGTAAGTAAAAATTTAGGTTCGTTACAGTTGGCATTAGAGCTATAGGTTTTAGATTCTATAGACTAGCCTACGATGTATGCTTGACACGTTCCATGGTCCCAACATCGATATCCTGTCACCGTCAGGTACGCCTTCTTAGAACTTGGGATGACATAAAGACATGCGACCATATTAATTGAGAACTTAGATGAAGAATTGAGATGTGATGTTGCACATGAAAGACTATGGGCCTCAAGTCGAGATAAGGTCAAGTCGAATGACTTGGTCTAGTGTAGAGGCAAGTCGAATAGAGTTGCAAATGATTAAATATGTACGCATGGACAACATATGTGGCCAAACAAGCTTGGATTCCACACAAATTGTGTTTCGATTTCCCTCAAGTCTTATCTTAAGCATATCAAAATCACGACGTTGCACAGTCGAAAATATACAACCATGGCATGACATGTACACGTTCCTTCCATTTCCATCTCGGATAATGCGAAAATAGATGGAACCATGCTAAGGGAGGAGACAAAGAGCTCACCTAGCACTCACTCTCCCTAGTCAAGGCTAAGACGGGCTTTGGGACCTTTGGCCCAATTTTCTTCTTCCTAGAGCAAAATCAAGTCGTGAGTTATGTTTTGATGTCAAGATGTCAGCTCTTCTCAAACTTAATTGACCCTAAACCATACATTCAATCATTAATTTCCTTTATTGTCTCAAATTAAAAAAATTAAAATTAAAAAAAAAAACATAAAAAAGCAATAAAGTTTGATATGGTGTTTGAGATGTGTGGAGTGTTGACATATCATGCCAACTCACATTAAGTCATATGTAACCATCATCCAGCTCAATTTTCAAGGCAACATATTTTCATTTTTTATTTTTTATTTTGTATTTTGTATTTTCCATATCATATCATTCTTCTAAATCTAACAACCCTCCCCTCATCTCTCTCTCTCTTGTCTCCTTATATTTGGAAACTCATCCTCATATCTCTCAGATTCCCACTCTCCAATCCCCCATGGCTGACCAATCAACCCCGCCCTCCGATCCCCCGCCGCCACCGCCGCAGGAGCTCCCCAAAGACGTCGCTGAAGAGAAAACCGTAATTCCGCCACCGCCCCCATCGGCACCGGTACCTGCGCCCACACCTGCTGAACACAAAACCGATGACTCCAAAGCTCTTGTTCTTGTTGAAAGTAAATAATTATACCTCAAACCCCTTTTTTCCTCTCTATTTCTCTGTGTGTGTTTTTTTTTTAAAAAATTCTATTATTATTATTATTTTTCAGCTCAGAGTTTATTTTTGTTTATGCTCTGTTTGGTGGGGGAATATATATATATATATATATATATATATATATATATATATATATATATATATCTTTGATTCTGATTCTCTTGTTTGGGGATTGGATTCAATTTTTATTCTCTGGGTGCCCTCGATTGGGAAAGTGGAATTTTTGTTTTTTGTTTTTTTTTTTTTTGTTTCTTTACTCAGTTTGGGTGACTGACGAGAAAATATTAGTGATCTTAGGAATCACGACTCTCTACAATTATATGATATTGTCCACTCTAACCCATGATCATTTTCTTCCAACAATCCTCTCTTCGAACAAATTATACTATAGAGACTCCCCTAAGGCCTATAGAGCAAAGGAGTCCTTGAACAAAGTACACATTTTTGTTCGAGGCTGAATCATTTTTAACTATATCTTCGAGGCTCAAAATTTCTTTGTTCGACATTTGAGGATTCTATTGACCTGACTAAGTTAAGAGCATGACCCTGAAACTATGTTAGGAATCACAAATCTATACAACAGTATGATATTGTTTCTTTAAGCATAAGCTCTCGTGGGTTTGATTTGGGCTTCCCGAACAGTCTCGCTCCCTCCCAACCATACGAAAAAGAATTAATGATATGTTGTTGTTATTGCAGAGGTTCCAGAAGCGGGTGAGGCAAAAAGCAGCGAGGGGTCTGTAAACAGAGGTATTCATTACATAAAACCCTGTTTTGAATGACTATTTTGGTTCCTTAAAAGAGTGAGTTTGTATATGATTTTTGTTCAGATGCTGTGCTAGCCAAAGTTGCAACAGAGAAGAGGGTGTCGCTCATAAAAGCTTGGGAAGAAAGTGAAAAGTCAAAGGCAGAGAATAAGTAAGATTCATTCCTTTTTCTATCTATTTGACCTTTTATTACCAACATAATATTTGATCATTTATTATAGACATTTACTCCGCTTATGTATCATATTTATCTTTTTATTACGGACAAATATCTTATAACTATTTATTGTTCTTTCCTCGGTATTTTATTTGATTCTCTAAACGATTATAAATGGAGACCAAAGATAAACTGAGCTCGTTTTGCAGAGCTCACAAAAAGCTTTCTTCGGTTGTGGCTTGGGAGAATAGCAGAAAGGCTTCTGTAGAGGCTGAGTTGAAGAAGATTGAGGTATCAAAACATTCTATTTACACGAACTAATTTAGTTCATTTTGCTTACGACTTCATCTCTAAAAGCTTAGTAAGAATATATATATATATATATTAAAAATGAGAAAGAGAGGTGGGACAGAGAGTCGCACCTTTATCTATGTTTATAATATTTAGATAGGATACAAGTTATCTACTAATTCCAATCTTTACCTTTAAACGGAATAGAAGCTACCAACTAACTCTTAATCAAATAGAAAATATACCAAATATATTAACCAAATTTTGAAGATAAAGATAAAATATATATGTATTTTTTTTGGAGTGGTTTTATGTTAAAAGAGTAATTAAACAAAATTTTGAGCAGGAAAATTTGGAGAAGAAGAAGGCAGAGTACATAGAGAAAATGAAGAACAAAATTGCTCTGCTTCACAAAGAAGCAGAGGAGAAGAGGGCGATAATCGAAGCCAAGCGCGGAGAAGAGCTTCTCAAGGCAGAGGAGACGGCTGCAAAGTACCGTGCTACCGGTACTGCCCCGAAGAAGCTTCTCAGCTGCTTCTCGAGCTGAGCGGCTCATCAGTTCATGTTCGTGTTTGTGTTCATGTCATTTGGGTGTTACTTTAGATGTGTTGCTGTTTATGGCTTGATTTGTTGGTGTGCTTAGTGAAGATTTGAAAAGTGCTTGTGAATATGATATTTGGAGGAACATTTGTTTGAATGTAAATCAATATTGTTATAGTCATTCTAATTTATTGCAACTCAATCAGATCTGAAATTAATTTGTTGATATTTTATTTTATTATTATTTTTTTTATAAAAAAAAAACCATTTTCAAATTAATAAGGAAAATTTGAAAGTTAAGGAGTTCTCACGGCATAGTTCTCATGTATATGACTGTCAATCACCATGTATATGACTGTCAATCAGGGTTCATAGGTAGTTCACGAATCTGTCGTTTGAATGATCTATCTAAGTTTTGTGGTGAACTAACATTTCATCTTACTAGTTTGCTTACTTTGTCTATGAAGTGAATTATTGGTATCTTGGATCTGAGAGGCATAATCTTATAAATGTTCCAAAACATGAAGGATGATATGTTAATACATGTTTGGATTTAGGGAGGGTTCCGTATATTTTTCAAGTTTTAAGTTACAATTATTTAGTGGTCATTGGAATTTATGGATCTTCTGGTTGCTTACCCGAAGATTTTGGATATTAAAATAAAAGTTAAAAGTATTATACTCTTAAGCCATGAGTTTGTTCTTTTGCATTTATTGTGTTTAGATTTGTATGTTAGAGTCATTCAACTAGTTTTGATCTAGTTATCTTGTGGAGTGATTGAAATCACTGAGTTTAGAAACGAGTTTTCTTTGCTTTTAGTCTTGATCATTAAGGTAATCTATTCCAAAACTTTCCTTTGGTTTGATTCCTTATCGGTAATCTATTCCAAAACTTTCCGTTGGGTTGATTCCTTATCATTTTTTGCGTTCTTAGATAATTTAGATTTAAAGGTTTTGTTCTTCACCAAGATTATGAGATCAAATCTCAAGAGTTCTGTAACACCACTGACCATTTTCGCACATGATAAATGACACTAAACATGAACGAACCTTGACACACAATCCTATTAGACTAATCTATGTCAAACTCGATGATAATCTATCATTGACCTACTATGACCAAATCGATGTCCCTATACTTCTAATAACTTACTAGAGGACATCTTTAGATAATCTCAACTTTCCCTAGGTGCAGTGATGGTAAACAAAGCTCCTAAGAACACCTTAACGATTTAAAACTTGACTTCTTATTTCCAAGACTAATTTGACTAGATCCTAGGGCTAATCATATTTCAGGAGCACTAAAGTTCAGTTTTATAACTATATCTCATGATTCGTGAGTGTTTGGTTCATTGAAAATAACATGACATAACAATCATGAAACCGTTCATGCTCGGTGCCCTATTATTGTCATAAATCTCATAAACATGCTTTCAATCAGATTTAAACCTATAATTCTCCTATTTCTAGGTTCTTCAAGTTCACTTCCATATGCTCTTCCCCCTGGGTAGTTGTCTCAAGGGTGCGAGTTCAAACCCGATTGAACATAAGTTCATTTATTGTTTGTTCCATTTTCTCGCTTGCATTTCATCTCAGTTTTGAATCCTAGTGGACATTATTTTGTTTTTTTTTAAACTGATTTTTTGCACGCGTTTCTTTGAATTTCTGTTGTGCATGTAGAAATAGCTTAGAGTTCCACATACATCAATTTTCGTTCGTGCAGCATGAATACCTTATATAGCTAGAGCATGCATAACTAGGACATTTAAACCAATATATTGATTTGAATGTTAGAGAGTTTAGTGTCAAAAGACTACCATGTCTGGAGAATGAGAACTATATGCTCTAAGTTGTATTGAAAGATGTTGCGAAACTAGCAACTATGGTTTGAATTAAGGAATTAAGAATCAGGTAATTTATACACTTAAACCCTTGTACTGAATTTCAATCGTTGGATCAAATGAACCTCGGATTTTCTTGAATATGCAAAAATTTTAGCTCAATCCAACGGTTGAATTTAAATATACAAAGATTTTTTTTTTTGAAGCTGGCCAATTCTGAAATGTGTGCGGCAGATTTTAATGTTGATGTAGGGGCATTTTTATAAGCAATTGAAACTTTAAGGACATTTTTGAATATTTTATTCTAGAAAATCCGACATTTTCTAAAAATCACGAGCGGCTTGCTAGGTGAACGCTACCTTCGACCCTGATAATTGCAGCGCCCCAAATCCAATCCAATATCCCTTAGCCCACCTGCAACAACTTTAGCCGTCGATCCATCACAAAAACTCGTGTGCCCGTGTAGTTGACCCGAAGTCAGTGCCTCAATCCGAATACGACCTGCACGCATGTCAACCTCCCCAGCGACATGTGTTACTGCTGCAAATGGTGACTTCTTTGACTTGGTTGAGCATTTTTGCCACCGACCCTTACGTTTTTACCCTTCCAGGACTATAAGTTAGAAATGTAAATTACTACCGAAGCAGGATAGATGTTCTAATAAGAAACAACTTCCGACGATACTTGGAGCAACTTTGAGGGATAGAATTTAAATGTACTCGAATTTAAGGAAAACTCTGACTAAGGCCAGCCAACTAAGTGGTCATACTATTGGTTCAGTTAGAACTTGTATGCTGTAGATGACATGTGCCCTGTGGCTTTGCACGTGTCATATGCTTGTTATATGTGAAAGGTTATGAAATGATATGTTTACGATATGATATGTGAATGATATAATATATGTTATGATATGACAGCCTGACAACATGTTCATAATATGATATGTAAATGATATGATATATGCATAGTATGAATAATACATTGGAAAACACGATATTTGTATGAGATGACATATGTTTGACATGATGAAATGTATGTTATGATTGACATGAAATATGATGTTTCCGCATAATGCACAACCCCAATGTATGCATGGAATGTTATGATAAAATGATATGATATAAAGGAAAGCGGAAGGGGTTGTTGTACACTATAATGAATGAAAAATGTTGGGACCTCATGCATCATGGTGCGTTATGTATTGGGGAATACCCCCTTTTTATAATGGTACGGACGCGTATGCTACGAGACAAGAAAACGATCATTATATTTATTATAATGCTGCGACGATCATTATTTCTAATGGGTGTTTGATAACAGCTCCAAAGAATGCTAGTCCGACAAAGAAAGGGGCTCGGGAGGTGTGCGAATCGACTGGTGGGTCCATACTCGCACGTGTGGACCGTGTATTGAACAAAAAATACACATCCAATTACCCGCTTAGGATAGTCGAGTAAGGGAATGTAGGCTGATATGATATGTCTCACTCATGATTGTATGTGCTTGTATCTAACCCCGTCAATTACTTATTATTTCTTAAAATACTCAAGCCATATGCTACTCTTATTTTTTTTTAAATAAAGGCAATGATGTCGAGTACAGCTGACGGTGGCATTGCAACTTAAGAGACCATGACACATACATAGGGTAGTTTGCATTTTAATTTCATAGACTATAGGTTGGTATAGATTAGCATGCCTTTAAATTCTTAGTGTATGGGTTAGTATAGAACATTTTATTTTATTTTATTTTATTTCAATTTTCGTTAAATATTTTAAAGATCTTTTAGTAAACATGTAAATCCATGACTATGTTTTTATAATAAAAATTTTGAATGAATTATTTCCGCATAAAATGACTATGATATGTATATAGTAATAACCTTAGGTTAAGTAGAAATCTAGGGTCGTTACAGTTGGTATTAGAGCTCTAGATTACAGATTTGGTAGACTAGCCTACGAAGTAGGTTTGACATGTTCCATGGTCCTACCGTACATGTCCCGTCACCGCCAAGTACATCATGCATAAGATAAGAAAAAGAAATATTTTAAATGGCATTTACTAGTAGCATCAAAATTGATGGATCTTTGAGTACATTGTTGATTGTAGCATGATGATTAATCTAATATCATGTCAGTATTCTTGCTATGCTATATGATTATAATAGCGTGCAATATGATGTTATTTATATTAGCGAACTATAGACTTAATAAACATTATGTTAGTTTCTAAAACCATGCCGTCCAGAAGACACGAAAGAAGAAAAGGAGGGATTGGGCAACCTCCTATTAGAGGTAGAGGTAGAGGAGGGATTGGGCAACCTCCTATTAGAGGTAGAGGTAGAGGAAGGGGGGGGGGGGGGGGG